CAAATTACCATTTGACAGGTTTATGAAAGAGTTGTGTTCTGATTTTAAGGTGAAACACAAGAACAAAGGGGCTCACCACTGCACATACTTGAACATGATTCCCTAAAACTCTTAGACCCCAGATGTTTACAAGTCTTACCCCTGCCAGATTCAGAGAATATGGAGAAGAGCAAACTTCGGTAAATACCCTAGTTCTTGCTTCTTGGAAGAGACAAGGAAACCTAGCCAAATAGTTGATGATTAATTTGTCTCTGGGAACCAAAAACATACCCATAAGAAACTGGGGCCCCAGTTTGAATAATGTGGATTTTAAGCATTACATTACAGAGTATTCATTAGGGTGAGTGTTTTATGTACATATATGAAATTATTTTAATGGCCCCCTCATGATTCATACTGTATTAGTTATCTCTTGTTATATTACAAATTACCCCAAAACTTAGTGGCTAAAGACAACACTCAACATTTATTATCTCACAGAGTTTCAGTGTGAGCTTTGGTGTTCTGGATCAGGGTCTCTCATGAGATGAGAATCATGATGTCGGCTGGAGCTGCAATCATCTGAAGGCTTTTCTGGAGCTAGAGGATCCATTTCTAAGATATCTCACTCACACGGTGTTGGCAGGAGGCCTCAGTTCCTCCTCAAGAGTGAGTGATCCAAAAGAACAAGACAGAAGCTGCAATGTCTTTTATGATCTAGCCTGAGAAGTCAACACTCTGTAATTTCTTTTTTTTTTTTTTTTTTGAGACAGAGTCTCGTTCTGTTGCCCCTAGCAGAGTGCAATGGCATCATCATAGCTCACAGCAACCTCAAACTCCTGGGCTCAAGTGATCCTCCTGCCTCAGCCTCACAAGTAGCTGGGATTACAGGCAGGCAGAACCACACCTGGCTAATTTTTCTATTTTTAGTAGAGATGGGGTCTTGCTCTTGCTCAGGCTGGTCTTGAACTCCTGAGCTCAAGCGATCCTCCCTCCTTGGCCTCCCAGAGCACTAGGATTACAGGCATGAGTCATCGTGCCTGGCTGAAAGCTAGTTTTTAAATGCTATTAATGGTTATTTTGGTGTGATATGCCCAGTTTCTACATATGATCCAATTCATTTTTTTAAATGATGGAAGCAGATTAAGTGAAATTTTTAAAAAGAGTTCTGGCATTGGGATGAATTTTACTGGGAGGGGTAAAGCAGCTGAGTTCTATCTTGGCTCTGTCTGTAGTTTACCATGTAGCCTTGGGTAAGTCACTTCTCTTGCCTCAGTTTCCTTATCTACCAAATAAGGGTGTCACCCTCAATAAACTGAGGTTTATTCAAACTGAATCTATGAGCAGTGGTTCCCTGGGAGACACATACATGTGGGATCATGTTCAATTCTCAGGAATTGTATTGTGTGTGTGTTGTTGCTGCTGCTGCTTTAATTTTAAGGCAGCAGTATAAATAAAATAGGATATGGGTTATTCATAATTTACAGTTCCAATCCCACCCCCTTTTCCCCAATGATCACTATTATTACATTCACAACCATAACTCTGAAGAACTTCACAATTATGGGCTATGTGCCACCTAGAAGATTTTTTAAATGCAAAATGCATCAGTTTTTGAAAAAAATATATTAATTCTATTCATAAGCTCGGGACCTAATTATATATTCAGATGATTACATTCTTTTTCCTAATTCTGCTTACTTAGTTCTAACAAAATGAAAAATCACCTCCCTGTAAACCTCCTCATTCAAAGCAATCTCCACTTGCTTTTGGGACATCCTGATCACTCTAAAAGGCTGGATCCCCGATTTGTCAGTGGCTGCCTTTGTTGGAGGCCCAGAAAGGTCTGCAGTGACATGATTTGTCCAGGGGCTGACTGCATAGTGGCTTCTTGGAATTGAAAAGGAAGGCTGTTTGGTTTCCTAAAAGAGAAATGACTGCTCAAATAACAAAGTCTAATTTATCACCTCAGAGCCCCTCTTAATGGCAGTGAGATCCATATAGATGCCAACCCAGACAGCCACGCTCATGTGTCTATCTAAAGGGCCAATGTAATTGTTGTAAAGCAGCTCTGTTCGTCAGTGCTGGTATAAAAAGGAGCATCCCACTGCCTACCAGGAGCAAAGCTATTAGATCAATTAGCCGCACTTCAGCTGCCCAGGTGCTTCCACCTTCTTCTGAAAAGCAGCCTTCTTCCAGACAGATCGCACTGATACGGCACCTGCTCACTCACGTCCACGTGACTCAGGCACCGAGATGCCAGGCTGTCCAGCTATCCTGTAGACTGCAGTGCAACAGGCCCAAGTGTCGGCAGTTGGCAAAGATGTAACAAAACCAGAGTCAAATAAAAACATCAGAGCTGTCCAGGAGTTAGCACGACCCATCTGGCCATGTTCTCTGATGGGACTCAGTGGAAAACTGTTAGATAAGCAAATTTGGCCCCTAGATCAGGGGCTTCTCCACACAGGAAGAAAGACCATCAGAAGGGGAATTTAATGAGTTGACAAGGTTTTAAATCAAAGTGTAACTCTGATATCCGTCAGCTGGGTCTTTCCTGTCCTTTGAGATCCATAGTCTGTGGAAGTCTGAATTCTGTGACTGCTCGGAGACTTAGGGTCTCTACCTCGGCTCTTGCTTCCATCCATGTCTGATACTTGTCAGGTTGCTCACTAAAGAAAAGCATGTTACAAGCATGGTAGACCTTACAAAAAGTTGGTGTCATCCCAGAAAATCACATTTCATATCATGCATTTCATATCCCATAACGGTATAGTTGACAGTCCATATTAGACTTTCCTGTTCTCTTCAGCCTGGCTACTCAAAGGTATCGTCAGAGGACCAGCCACACCTGTATAATCTTGAGTCCTACCCCAGACTTGCCAAATCCAAACTTGTAATTACCAAGCTAACCAGGTGATTTGGCCCGTTAACGTGTGAGGAGCACAGCTCTTAAGGCCTTTTCTGTTACCTCAGCACAGGGAGATTCCCTTTGCCCTGGCCCTTGCTCTGTCTCTCATCTTCTCTTTCTTCCTCCTCCCTTCTCTCTCCCTTGTTCTTTTATCTCCTCCCTCCAGGTGAGGAGCTACAAACAAATTTGTCTCCTGCAGAGCAGCCCTTTCTCTGGAGCCTCAGGGCCAGTCACCAGCTGGGCCCTAAGGTCTCGCCTATCAGCCCTCAGTCCTGTCCCCAAGCTTATTAAAATGTTTGTCTAATCAAGGTCCCCCACCCCCTGCCACAAGAGGGACTCTGATGCCAGCCAGCTATTACCATAAAACCACTCCTCCATCTCCTTACAAAAGAAATCCTAAATTTGGGAAAGATAGCTGGTTTCCAAAACAGACCCCTAAATCAAGTCAAGATTATGAGCTATCATACAACTGTTAGACCTGGGAAGCGGAGTTTCTGATGGGAAAGTGACTCACTTGAGGTCATTTGGTAGTTACTGGCCAAAGCAGGACTAGAAAACTTCTTATACTTCCCAGCACGGGGTTCTCTGTGCCTTATCCTTACTCATTCTACTTTAAACTGAACCTTTAAGTGGCTACCAAATTCTCTTCCTGAGTTGTAACTGTGAATCATCTGGGCAGTAAATCTATATTGGGTACCTGCTGTACATAGCAAGGTCTGTTCAAATATCACAAGAAGCAAAACGGACCTGGTTTTTCCATATACCACCTGCCTTTGCCCAGATTTAAATCTTCATTCCCACCTATCCGCCTGGCAAACTCCTATACATCTTTAAGAATCAACAGCTGGGACCTTCTTAATTCCTCCAGACAAAATTAATGACTGCCTCCTCTGTGCAAGCATATGATTATAACATTTCTTCCATTATATGTTAGGTCTGTTTTCCTAGCTGACCACTTATGGGTAGAAGGTTCCTCAAGGAACCTGACCTCTGGGGTCCTGATTTCCATATCCTTAGTGTCCAGCAGAGAAGAGACCAAAAAAACTAGGTTTTTTTCCTCCTATCTTCCACTTGGACATCCCTACAGATTGATGGCACTGGTCAAACAAATCTTGCTCTTAACTCAGCATCTTCATCTTCAAGCTCCTCACCCGTCTCTGGGCCTGGGCTACCTCTGACCCCTCTGCCTCACACTGCTACTTATCTGTTGACCTGGCCTCTCCTGCCCAGCCCTCTTCTATTCTGTTGCTACCCAAGGGTTCCAGCCTAGCCACCAGCTACTTAGGTATGACTTTTTGAAAATCATGCTACCTGCTGGGCCTCATCTGTAAAGTGAATGGGTTTGACTCATTAGCTAGAGCTCTCAATGGCAGCACTGCAACTCACAGGTGTGTTTTAATCAGTTACACAGTGCTTTGCAAGATTTTTTTTTTTTTTTTTTTTGAGACAGGATCTTGCTCTGTCACCTGGGCTAGAGTGCAGTGGCATCATCATAACTCACTGCAACCTCTAACTCCTGGGCTCAAGCGATCCTCCTGCCTCAGCCTCCTGAGTAGTTGTGACTACAGGTCTGTGCCACTGCCCCTGGCTAATTTTTCTGTTTTTAGTAGAGATGAGATCTTGCTCCTGTTCAGGATGGTGAATGTTTTTGTATAATCGTTAAGGTTTGCCAATGGGCTTTTTAAATAAATAGATCAGATTCAAGGTTATCCCTATGACTGTCATTCTCAGTTGCATTCTGATATGCAGAATAAAGTGTGGAGTTCCAGGTAGCTCCAGGGATCAGACACAAGCTTGGGGCACACACACCGTTGGGAATGTGTTATGTTTTACACAAAAAATTGCCTGGTTATCTATCATGTGTGTCTAACAGTGCAAAGATTGATCCATAATATTCTTTTCAGCTCCATTGTCTTTTGAGCAATAAAGCCTGGTATAAAAGAGATGGTTTTTATTTTAGCTGGAGAAAAGACTGCTTTTGGAAAACATGAATTTCCAAACATTTCCTGTGATGTGGTAGTTTCTCTTAAAATTTAAACCTCACTCAGGGTCACTTGACAGGTGATGCTCGTTTATTTAATTTTTTCCTCTTCCTCTTTGGCTTTGCTTCCAGAAAACGGGAGGAAGAAAACAAGCGAAAAGAGGCAGAACAGCAGAAAGGAAGGTGTAGCCCAGATTCCTGCAGACCCCCAGCCCTAACGTGTCTGCCCAGCACCCAGGATGAGCCCAGCAGGCAGAGCTGTGCCCCTAGCAAACAGCCTCCTGCTGGCAACACGACCCAGGGCCCTGAGCCAAGAGACTGCAGAGGGTCTCCAGGAGGGCCTCTAGGCAGGGGACCCCAGAAGGAACAGAATGTCTCCTCAGACTTGCAGGGAACAAACTCCAGAAAGCCAAATGGTAGGTGTATTGCCTTTGCCATCTAATGACAATCCATGGACTGTGGGGCTGTTTTGATTGGTATATTTAGACCATTTACATTTAAGGTAATTATTATGTTAGCATTTAAGTCTGCCATTTTATGATTTGTTTTCTATTTGTTTCCTCTGCTTCTCTTTTCTTCCCTTTCTGTGGGTTACTGCAACATTTTTTAGCATTCTATCTTGATTGATTTATAGTTTTTGAGTGTGCCTGTTTCACGGTTGGCAGTTCTTTTTCTTTTAGCACTTGAAAAATACTGTGCCACTTCCTTCTGGCTTTCATGGTTTCAAATGAGAAGTCCCCTGTCATTCAAATCAGTGTTCCTCAGAACGTTCCTGGCTATCATGGCATTTCTCTCTGACTCCTTTCAAGATTTTTTATCTTTAATTTTCAAAAGTTTAATATGATGTGTCTTGGCATGGGATTTTGCAGTTCATTCTATGTGGAGTTCACTTAGTGTGTCAGGGGTTCCAGTGACCACTCCCAGGTTTGGTAATTTGCTAGGAGGACTCACAGGACTCAGCATATGGTTGTACTCACAGCTATGATTTATTATAACAAAAGGACACAAAGCAAAATCAGCAAAGGGAAAAGGTGCATGAAGCCAAGTCCAGAGGAAACCAGGCACAAGCTTCCAAGAGTCCTCTTCCAATGGAGTCACACACAACACACTTAATTCTTTCAGCAATAAATTGTAACAACCAGTTAGACAACCTTTTGTCTACCAGGAAAGCTCACTTGAACTTAGGACTCCAGGATTTTTAGCAGAAGTCAATCTCATAGATACCCTCTGCCTAGCATATGCCAAAATTCCAGACTTCCAGAAGGAAAGCAGGTGTTCAGCATGAGTCGTATTATTTGCACAAAGCAATTCAAGCACATTGAGCCCACTCTTATAAATTAGGGAATGGTGGGACCCCTCCCAAAATCTAAGTGCAGATGCCAACACAGTGAAAAAGGCACATAGTGTCTTAGTATTATGACGATAGTTTTGACCTTGTGGACTCCCAGAAAGGGTCACTGGGATCTCATGATCACTTAATTCAGGGTTTGGACAATTCAATTTGTCTCTCTGAACTTTAATTTCCTTAGCTATAAAATAGGGGGTCTACTCTCTATCCTACAAGACAGTTACGGATATAAATAAAATAATTAATATGGAGTACTTGTTATAGCCCATGACCCACAGTAGGTCTTCAGTAACTATCACTTTTAAGCCATACTGCTAATCTAGCCAAAAACAACTACAAAAAAGTATACATGCATGACCATAAACATTCCTTGGAATATAATTCCATAATCTACTTTACAGCGACAGTGTGTCAGCAATGTAATTCTTAAGGAAAGTGTGATGCTGTGTTACATATTCATCCATTTATTCCTTCAACCAGCTTTAATTAGTCTCCCATCATGGGTCACCCATGTTGAATTTCCTTGAGTTCTTTCTTAGCTTGGGGGCCTTTGCAGGTGACATTTCCTATACTTTATTTTTCAGATCTCAGGGTGAATGTTACTTCTTCTGTACAGCCATATCTCACCACTAAATGATGCTACATTTTCCTGCTATATGCTCTAATACCTCTCCTACATTTCCCTCATATAAAGATCATAACCTTTTACTGTTCTTACTGGTTGACTTTATTTTTTCCACTAGATTGCAAGATCTATAAAGAGCAGGGTTGTTTCAGTTATCTACTGCTATATAATAATAAACCACATAAAAACCAAGTGGCTTAAAACAACAATGTATTATTTCTTGTGATTCTATGGTTTGGTTGGACTGTCTCTCTGTAGGTTTCAGCCATATGGCTATATTCAGATGGAAAGTCAGTTGAATTGCACAGTCTAAGGCAGACTGACTTGAAGGTCTAGCAGTTGATCCTGGCTGTCAGCTGGGATTCCCTGACTCTGCTTTACAAGGCCTTTCATCCTCAAGTAGACTAGACTGGCTTCCTTTCAGAGTGATCCCAGGACAGCACTGTCAGAAAGCAAAGGCAGAAGCTACAAGACCTCTTGAGAAACAGGCTCTAGAATTTGCACATTCTATTGATCAAAAGCAAATTATAAGACCATTCCAGACTAAATGATGTGGAGAAATAGATTCCTCCTTTGTGCATACTAGGATGGGAGTAATTTTTGGCTGTTAAACAATCTATCATAGTTCCTATTTGGTCACAGATTATTCATATTCCTCCCACATGCAAAATATTCTTACCCCTATCTCAGAGCCCCAAAATCTCATCACAATTATCACATCATGCTTGAAGTCTAGGACCTTGAGACCTGTATCAGGTCCAGATGTGGTTCAGGTTCCCCAGGTGGGACTTTATCTGATTCAGAGACCACTCAACCAAAAATATACATTATCAACACCCACGCAGTCAGCAAGCAGTGTGAGACAGGAACGGAATAACCACAGTAGACTCTCCTGTTCCAAAAAGGGGTGTAATAGGAGGCACATAGCAATTCTGAAAGCCAGCTGGTCACACATTGCCAGGGCCCCTACTCTGAGATATGGAATGTTCCTTGATTAGGGTCTCTCGTTTTACTCCTGTGTGGCTTCCTATTCTATTATTCTCCCTGGCTCTTGGTTCTGCCACCTGGATTCTTGGCTCTGCTCTCTGAGAAGTCCTTCCTTTTCCATAAGAAATGGGCCCTGTTTGCAGCCGAGTAGCTTTCTTCATCTGTTCCTGACTGTAGTACACTGGGGACCCAGAGGCTTCTTTTTGTTTCAAAAGCCTCACCAGTTTAGGCTTGAGATACTCTCAGTGATACAATTATCTCAAAAAGCTCACAGGTTTCCTGTGAATCCAGCTGGGTTCATTCCATGTTCCAAAAACCACATCCATAATTATTTTTCAAACAAACTTTTCTTTAATTTGAGTGACTCAGACTTTGTGAGAAAATGTCCTCGAAATTCTTAGAAATTCTTTTGTCTAGCTCAGAGGGCCCACTATGCACCACCTTAAATATTTTTGAGCTCTTAATAAAGGGTGTCATACAGCCATACTGTTGATTTGATTTTTTTGTTTTGAGGCCATATCTTACAATGAGACTCTTGCTGGCTAGAAAGAATAAAAATGTTTACAGTTTTATTTTCTAACCCAGCACATCCTGGATCTTTATGCTTCCTCTAAATTCTGGTTACAAATTAGTTCTTTATTTTCTTACTTTCTCCCCATACCTTGTCATATGCAGCTTAAAAAGCAATTGTTTTCTTCAGCATTCCACCTGGAAATCTCCTGAGCCATATACACATGTTCATTAGGTATCTTCTATATTCTATGTTACTGCAGGTGACAATTTTGCCAGTTATTCTGTCAATGAATAACAAGGCTCACCTTTCTGTAGACTCCAACAGCAATTTCTTCTCTGCTCTTCCCACCTTCACCAACAGTCTCTTCATGGTTCACCAACCAGTCCCAAAGTCATGCCACAAGTTTTAGATTTTTGTTAGGACAGCACCTCTCTTTTTTAGTTATCAGTTTCTGTGTTGGCTATGTCTTATGACATAACAAACTACCCCCAAAAGTAAGTGGCTTAAAACAATAACAGTTTATTTCTCACAGTTCTTGTGAGTTGGCTGGGCAGTTCCTCTGCTGGGTGACCTGAGCTTGTGTGGCTACTAGAAGGCTGACTGGGCTGGAAAGCCCTAAATGGCCTGCTTTATAAGTCTGGCAAGTGGTGCTGTCTGTTGGCGGAGGTGCCTCCATTCTCCTCTGTGTGGCCTTGCATTCTCCAGTAGGCCATCTTCCTCACATACTGTTCTCAGAGCAGTGCTCTAAGAGAGAAAAGGCAGAGGCTGCAAGACATCTTGAGGCCAGTTCTGGGACTCCAGAACTTTGATATCACTTCTACCATATTCTTTTGATCAGAGCAAGTTGCAATGGCAGCCCAGATTTAAGGAAGTAGAGAAATAGACTCCACCTCCGGATGGAAGATGTGGCAATATTACATTACAAAAGTATGTATGTATTAGGATAGGAGGAATCTTTGGCAATTAATCTATCATGAGAGGCAATGTGTCTCTTCTGTATCTCTAGCACCTTGTAGGTGTCTGGCACATAAGAAAGTATTTGTTGAATTTATAGTTACATGGTACTAGCTAGGTGCTGGAGATTCACAGATGAAAGACAGTTCATTAACCACAAGATGAAAAGTATTTATTGGGTATACTCATGTTTTCTTTAACAGAATACCATTTTATGGCAAAGATTTGCTTCTGCACAATTCACTAAATCAGTTATGTATATATTTATCCTGCAGATATATTTTTGAGCCCACACTATGTGCCAGCTATACTGAATTATCAATTAAGGCTAAGGACCATACCATCAGCTTCTTTCCTACAGCAGTGAGCACACATTGGGTACATAGGTAAATATTCTTGACCTGAATTCTCTTAGAAATCACCCATTAAAGGTTAGATTGACTTGGAGTTTACTCTGTACCCCAAGAATTACATATAATCACTGTAACTTCAAACGTGCAATGCTAATAATTCCCCTAATTCAGTGCCCTACCTAACAGAGAGAAGGGGAGCCTAGTAACTTCAGACTTCTTACAGCTACACAAGGTGATTGTGGTTCATGTTAGCCTTATTATAAAACACCCTGAGACAGGTTACACTGCAAGGCAGTCAGATCTACTGTGGACATGATCACATTCTAATGGAGTAGCCTCACATCCTAAAAAATCCATGCTCTTTCAGTGTCTAATAACCAGTCCTTTTTTCCTTTAATTACTCTGATAGTAATAAGACCTCCTCAAGGTGATCCTAGTGCATGGTTTTACAATGATTTTCAAGCTATGTGTGGCTCATCAAATGAATTTAGTGGCTTTAACCAGCATATTTTTTATGGTATAGACTACAAAAGAAAATACAAAAGTACATTGTACATTATAAGAGTAGTACACTCTGTTTCAGTTATATCTACGTATATATACATGTGTGTGTGCCCATGCATGCATATGAGTAAATTGTACCACAATGTAAGATTTATGTCTTGGTATAGGACATTGTCAAAAAATTTTGTAGGTTACTGTTCTAGAACAACTCTGAGACAGGGGAGCTTCTCACTCATTTGAGGCCGGGAAGTGGTGTCCTGAATAAGAGACCTTTGTGAAGAGTCAGATTCTAATATGGAAACAGAAGCTGAGCATCCAGCGTTTGGGGACAGCTGAAAGAAAGGAGGCCAGGGAGACTGCTTTAGATGTAAGGAGAGGGAGCTCCAGTTTTGTGGGCAGCCTTTTCCTCATTCACCTGCCCAAGAGCTGGAAAATAGGGAAGCACTTCTAGGAATCATGACTGACCATAGAGCCTCACTAGCATGATATCCTTAGGAAACCCCAACATCTTTGGGCAAAGGACACCACAAGCCATTTTGTGTTTGGCCACATAAAGAAGAGTTAGAGCTTTCAACTGATCAGTGATCAGGCAGTGTCTACTCGATGAACACCCCAGCAAGAACCCAGAGACAGGAAATACTGACCCCTTCTTTTTCTCTCTCATTCTGTCTCATAGAGAAGGTTAAAGCTTGAGGTCTTTGGAGAGCATCTAATGCAGCCTCCTCAAAACAAGTCAAGAAACTGAGGACCGGAAAGGGGGACTTGTCTAAGGTCTCTTAGCAAGTCAACTGATTTTTTTCTTCTCCCTTATAATAATTCTTCCTTTTTGTTGTTTATAATGTGTGCAAAGCATATTGGTTAAATGCACAAGCTTTGGAATCACACAGCCTAAGTTCATATTTAGATTCTACCACTTACTAGTTGTGTAATTTTGAGCAAGTTACTTAACCTCTCCAGGCCTCAATTTCTTTACTTATAAAAAAAGAGATAATAATGCCTGCCTTAGAAAATTGTGAACCTCAGTGAAATAGCCCATGTAAAGATTTAAGGACAGTGCCTAAAGCACTCTGTAAATGTGAACTGTTATTATAATTAACCTCATTGTTTCAATAGGGAGATGGAAGGAGACATAATCTTTAGAAAGATCACTGTGAGAGACTCTGTACCCCATCCAGACCCAGGCTGAGATGAACTTCCTTGTCATCTCCCAGTGCTGGAAAGCAGATTTTTTGTCTAGATTATCATTTTCCAAAGATATATCCCTTGAAGAATCCTGGCTTCATGTAGAGTCTTGGGTCCAGTTAACTTTCTGCCTGCAAGGCCTCATTTTCTGTTCTTATTTGGATGTTGAAACATAACCAGATATTTAATAAGACCATCCATTGCCCACTCAAATACTACTCCATGCCTAGAAAGTTGTTGGATTAGCTCACATACATATTGCTTTAATTTTCAGTTTTCTCTTTGTTTTTGGCCTCCAGATAGTTCCTTTATTTTCTTAAAAGCATGATGGTGCTTTTAAAAGGATGTCCATTGTATTTTAGTCAGCATTTCTAGGTACTCATAGTGAAAGGCTTCCAGGTTAATTGCCACTATCATGTGATACTATAGGCTAAGCCTGAATATTTTATGTGAACAAATTGTCCTACTGTGCAAGTTTTAGAAAATAAATATTCTTCCGCTTTTTCTTTGTTTCCCCAAGAAACATCCAGAGAACATTCTAAAGGCCAATCTGCCTGTGTCCACTTCAGACCCAGTGAAGGCAGTGATGGAAACAGGCATCCAGGAGTCCCCTCTGTTGAGAAGTCCAGAGGTGAGACAGCTGGTGATCAGCGGTGTGACAAGGGGAAAGGCTTCTTGAAGCAGCCCCCCTGCATTAGGGGGGCTAGGCCTGATGAGAAAGGAGAGGACCCCCATCGGGCAGGTACAAGCCTCCCACAGCAGGACAGCCACCGGAAGCCCAGGAGGTGGCATGACACAGCACCCACAGCCAAATGTGCCCCCCAGAAAAGGCGCATTCAAGAGCTCAAAGGAGGAAGGTGCTCCCCGGCTGGTTCCAGCCGGCCCGGCAGTGCCAGGGGAGAGGTGGTCCATGCTGGGCAGAATCCTCTCCACCATCGCACACCAAGAAGCAAAGTGACACAGGCCAAGCTCACAGGAGGGGTCTATTCAGATGTGCCACAGAGCACAGAGGAGTTGAGGTCAGGAGCCAGGACGATGGGGACATCTATCCTTTATGAGGACGTTCAGGTATCTCAGGAGACTGATCCGGCACCTGGTCCCCCCTCTGGGCAGAATGTGAATATTGACCTTCTCCCCGTAGAGCTCCGACTGCAGATAATCCAGAGAGAAAGAAGTAGGAAAGAGCTGTTTCGCAAAAAGAACAAGGCAGCAGCAGTCATCCAGCGTGCCTGGCGAAGGTAGGAAAATGAGGTGCTGTATCATCTTTGGTTCTTTGGTTGTTCCTGATACCCCTGGCATGACACCTGTGCTCTTCGATGTTTTCCCAGTGAATTCTATGTGGTGGCATGACAAGGCCAATTTCATGGAGCCTGCTCATGAAATTCACACATGTATAGATCTTAATATTAGTAATTTAGATTGTATGAGCTACTTGGAAGATGCTTTTGCCCAGAAAGATGGGAAAGTATCCAGGATAGCATGGTGTAAAGCTGTGATCCCCAACCCATGGGCCGTGGACCAGTACCAGTCTGTGGCCTGTTAGGAACTGGGCCTCACAGCTGGAGGTGAGCAGCGGGCAAGCGAGGGAAGCTTCATCTGTATTTACCATCGGTCCCCATCGCTGGCATCGCCATCTGACCTCTGCCTCCTGTCAGATCAGCAGCGGCATTAGATTCTCATAAGAAGCGTGCAACCCTACTGTAAACTGCACATGCGAGGGATCCAGGTTGCACGCTTCTTATGAGAATCTAATGCCTGATGATCTGAGGTGGAACTGAGGTGGTGATGCTAGTGCTTGGGAATGGCTGCATATAAAGATTATCATTAGCAGAGAGGTTTTACTGCCCAATAAATGGAATGTGCTTGAATCATCCTGAAACCACTCCCTGCAGTCCGTGGAAAAATTTTCTTCCATGAAACTGGTCCCTGGTGCCGAAAAGGTTGGGGACCTCTGGTGTAAAGGAAAAAGCCCTGGGTTTGTAACCGTGAAGCCTGAGGTTCAGGTGAAGCTCTAACAGGTTATGAGACTTTGGGCAAATCACTTGGCCTCTCTCGTCCTCAGTTTCCTCATCTATAAAACAGATTTAACCCTTGTTGCACCTGTCCTGTTTATATGACAGGTTGTTAAAATGAGATAATAGTGCATGCTTCATAATTTGTAAAGTACTACACACAGAAGACATTTTTTTTCTTTTTATGTCTTTAGTACCCAGGAATTAGTCATATTCCAAATATCTAAACCAGGCCAGGTGTGGTGGCTCACGCCTGTAATCCTAGCACTGTGGGAGGCCGAGGCAGGTGGATCCTTTGAGCTCAGGACTTGGAGACCAGCCTGAGCAAGAGTGAGACTCCGTCTTTAAAATAAAAATTAAAAAAAAAAAATACCTAAACCAAGACCTGGATATAATGGATTGAGTTGACCAAAATTTATTACATAAGCCTACCTGAGCTCAAAACATGGAGCAGGTGCTGGCAGTGGGGTGGAGGCTGTCCTAAAAGACTGACCATGTATGGTAGAGACAAATACCTCTAGGGAGTAATTAAGGGAGGATGAGAGGAGTCCTTTGCTACCAGTTTTCACGTATCTCATAATCTCCTTCATGCTTGTAGGTTTACTAGGGCCTAAATCTAGATTAGGGCTGACACTGATGACGGTACCCAGGGAAAGGCCAAACCCGTGGCCGACAGGAAGGAGTTATGTGGCCTCTATCACTGGGGAGAGGCAGACTGAGAGGGGACAGGCAAGCAAATCACTGTGAGCCCAAGCATGCCGAGTATCAAGGCCCATCAGGAGAAAAAGAAAAAAGGGACTGAGAGAACACTGACACTGGCAGAGAAGAGAGAGCAAGGTAGATCCTTTGGAGGTCCAGGGAGAGGCCTCAGGGAATATCATGCCAAAGACTGCCTAACCCAGAGCCACGCGATCTGGTTAGTAATTGCCCAGCCTTTGCTGTAAAGCTGCAGTCCCCAACCCCTGTGTCCTTGTGTCTGTTCAAGCTCTCAGCCACTGACAAAGTCCTCTCTCGTGCCTGATCTCATTGGATCTCCCAGCCCCATCAGGAATCCAGCATGACAGCGATCACTATCCCCCCATTTTTCAGACAGGAGAGGAAAAATGACTTGTGCTTATGGCGCAGATCCAGCACTTGAACCTTTGAGTCGAATCCAAGGGCCTCCTCTTACATTATGAGTGAAGTTAGTCTTTGCCGTGGTCAAGATGACACAGGCGGAGGCGGGCCTGAGAGCAGGCCGGATGGTGCTCACACGCGCCGAGGCAGCCACCGGGAGGGGTGATGTCGTTACTGCCATTGTTAATACGGGCAGTTAGCATGTATTGGGTGCTTGTGCCAGAAACTGTTTGAAGTAGTTTTACATACATTATTAAGTCATTTAATTGCCACAATAACCCTGAGAGGTAGGTATTGCTGTTACCCCCATTCCACAGATAAGGACACTGGGGCACAGAGAAGTTAAGCAACTTCCCTATGTTGCAGAGCTAGTGAGCGCCACGCTGGTTGTGCGCCGAGACATGCCTCTGGAGCCACAGATGGAAGTGGCCATTGCTCCCCTTCCTTGGGGACTTATGCTAGGACACGCGCTGGCTGCTGTCCAGAGGAACTTCTGTTAAGTCTTTTGGCTGAAACCTGGGATCCGAGCAGGCCAGCAACGGTGGTCACGTCGGGCCCCACAGCTGCTCCCTAGCTGCAATGTCTCCTTCTGCCCGTCTGTTCTTTGACTCCTTTGAAGAGTTGGAAGCTGACAGGTGCTGTCAGTGAGTGTCCAGAGGAGCCAGTGAGCCTTCCGTCGTCCCCCTCAAGAACAGTGGGCTCATGGTCTAACGTACCCACCTGGGAAGGCAGCACTGCAGGCCCCTCTGGCTGTGCCATTGTGCAATTCTGAGGCCTGGGGACATCCACTCCCAGACAGCTCGTGGGATGCTGCGCATTGTGGAAAGCCACGTTTGGTGACAGTAAAAATACTTTCACTGATTCTGTTACATTTTAACTACAGGAGTCTAAAGTGTTGTCCTGGAACAGTGTGCCTGACACCAAACCTAAGGAGCAGGAGGGGAGGGGTAGCGGACAGGGCTTGACACCTAAGCGCTCAGTAAATGCAGGCTGTAGTTCCAGGGGCATGCTGAGGGTGGAGAAAGGAAGCTAGAAAGTAAGCAGGGAGGGGTGTGCAGACCGAGCCTTGGGCACTGAGAAAATGAAACCTGGTCTTAACATTAAGTGTGAGTCTTATTACCAGTTAAGAACTTGACTGTTGTAAAGACTGAAACCAGATGCTGGACAAGCTGGGCTGGAAGGTTGCCATGGTTAAGGCAGTTGCTGTGCAAAGCCCTTCAGCTTCACCTGAACAAGCAAAAGCTGCCTTCCTGGCAGCGCTTCTCCAGCATGTTCTGGGGGTAAGCAAGGGTAGGCTGGGCCATGGAGAGCCCTGGAGGAAAGGAACTAGTGGACAAGTGAAGATTCTCAGCAAGCCAGGGAGTGTGTGTTCTCCTTGGGAACAGGAGAATGGCTGTTACTGTCACCACGAGGACCACTGTGTCCCCGGACGCAGACTCACAGTCTTAGTACCAGAGTTGATTCGGTGGAAGCTGTGCCCACTGACAGCTGAAACTACTAACAGCTTTGGCCAATACTTGGGCTTCCCCGTGAACTCGCTGCCCATAAGAGCAGAGGGAAGACAGTCGGCATCTCAAACGGGAGAAACTGAATTATGGAGCAGCAGTGCCTCATCACCCTCGCTTTTCGGAAATGCGGCACATGTTGTAGTAGAGGGATGCCGTGGTGTGTCACTCTCCAGGAAACAGAAGGAACATACAGGGTGACTGGAACCAGCCTTTGGGGAGAGGCCACACCATGCACTGCAAGGAGCTTTTAGCAGACTCAGGACAACAATTCTCGTTTAGTGTATTGTAAAATCAGGGATGGGGCTGGTTGGTCTCTACAGCTACCTGTAGGCTCACCAGGAGTAAATACTGCTGCAGACACTGAACACTGATGCAGCTTTCCTTTGGAGGCTTCAAAACAGTTGTGTTCAATAGTAAGCACCAAGTAAGTCCTAGACGTAAACACAGCCATCGTCCCCCTGTCCCTCTCCCACTCCAAGCCCCACCCCCTAGCAGAATGGTCTTAGGAAAGCACAACTCTTACCTTTCTTTGCCTGTCTTCTTAAAATACTCGGTGGGTCCCATCACGTGCAGAATGCATACCAAAGTCCTCAGCGGTGTTTGGCTGTTGGGCCAGACAGCCCTGGATTTGAATGGTGGTTTCTCCCGGCTCAAGCTGTGTGACCTTCTGCTTCACAGGGAAAGTACCTGGTATATAGCAGGCCCTCAACAAACGTGGGCTCCTTCCACAGTGTAGCCTCCTTCCCTCGCCAAATACACAATGCTTCCGCCACACTGCATTACTGACTTTCTTGCACAAATGCCCACGTCTCTGTTTGTGCCAATTCTGCTGTGTAGAATGCACTTCTCTGCCTGGTGAGCTCCTATGCATCCTTTCAAATCCAGCGCAGATATTAGCCTGTAAAGCCTTACCGAACCACCACAAACTGTCAGTCCTGCATCTGTCCCCACACCCGCTAGAGGTCCTTGCTCTTGGACAGTACTTCTCATACTGCACTTGTTACACATCCGCCTGTCCCACTACTGTGTGAGCTCCGTGAGGGCAAAGACTCATCTGAGCCCTAGTTCAGGAAGTATTTGATGATGGAAAAGACAAAATTCAACATTCGACATGCTGCCACTAATATTAGGAATGGGAACTTTAATGAACCTCCCAGTTCAGCAAATACTATTCCCATAACTTCTGGGAACCCTAAGGAAATTTAGTTCTCTCAGTATTGTGATCTCAAAGCCTTTGCTCTGCTCTGACCCCACCAGCTACCAGCTCAGGAAGCACCTGTCCTACCTTCTGCATATGAAGCGGCTTGGAGCTGGCAACGTGGACAGATGGAACCGAGAATGTACAGTGTTGCTCCTCCAGGTTTGGAGGAAGGAACTGGAACTAAAGCTCCCAAAGACCATCGCAGTAAGCAGGGCCCCCAAGAGTCCATCCAAGGGCACCTCAGGCACAAAGTCGACCAAGCACTCGGTGCTCAAGCAAATCTACGGTAATTATCCTCTGGGCACTTTGTAGTTTATAACAGGCACCCCAGAGGGTGCCAAAGCAGAGTCTGAGATGGGGCTTAATTATACTGCACAAACCTCCATTAAGATACAAACTTTCTTATTCTGCTTTCAAGCATCAAGAGAATTCTCAGTACCATTTAGTGCCTCCCTTCCACCAGTCCTGGGTCAGAATCCTACTTTTGTGAGGCATTCTGGCATCTCAGCCCCGAGAGCATTCCAGCCAAGAGATTCTCCACTGGGCTCCATGACTGAAAGCCTCACCATTAGACCTCTCCACACCTCTGCTTCGCCCATCGGGGAGTCTAGACTTGGCTAGACTCTGCCTGCCTCACTTTGACCCTTCCTGTGCTAACAGAGTACAGGGTTGCCCTTCTGTGGGAATGCCCCAGACCCAAGCACTATAGTAAATACTTGTTCAGCAGATTAACTGGTGTGAATTGAAACATTTTTATCTCTGGAAAGAGCCCATCCAAATAAAATAGAGAACAAGCCTGGCTAGCTCCCCACCAGAAAAAAGCTGAGCTGTCCAGGCAGCAAAATCACAGGACTCTGCTCTGGGCCTGCGTGGTTCTACATCATACCTAATTTATCTTGGCAGACACCTGCATGCTCAAGCCTTTACCTTAATAAGGAATTTAAAACTTGGTCAGGCCACAGCTGTCACTGGTCAAAGATAAATGACAGTTGGTTAATTTCAGGTTGTTCTCAAGAAGGGAAAGTACATCATCCCCCAAGATCTGCAAAAGCCCCCTCTGTGCTGCGTCTCAATTCAGGTAAGGCAGCCACTGCACTTGGCAAAGCAGTGCAGGGGGAAAAAAAAAAAAAAAACTTTCATTATGCTTGAGTGAATTAAAGAATAGTTTCAAAAACAGAACTGTCCGATAGAACTACTAGAGAAGTGGGAGAACATGGGGAAGTGTTTTCCTTTTTTGTTTCATCCAGAACAGGGATGGCCAGGGTTTTCCAGTGGTCATGTTATTTCAGGCCTGCATGTGTTTTGTATCCTCCTTTCATGGGATCATTACTGCAGTCAACAGCTGTCTCCATCAGAGGCAAATTATCTTCACAACCAAAAGCTATTTATTATTATTAACATCACCTCTGGCATAAGATATAAATGGGAGCTGTTACTATCACTTTTACATACTTGTTCACATGAAGGAAAAGTGTAAATGCTGTCCTCCTTCACCGGAATACTTTGGGAACCGTTTTCCCTTTTTGGTGTCACATTAAGGTCCTCCATCTCCTTCCCCGAGATGGGAAGAACACCATGAACAGGACACTGATACCATGTCCAGCTCAGGATCAACTGTGTACTTTCACTCATGTAGGAGAAGCTCAGGGAACTTTCTTTTCAACCACAAGACAGGAGTGTTTTACTTAGCCCTCTTCATTCACGCCGGCATTTAATATGGGTGATAAGTTCAGTGCTGTCAGCAGCTAATGCCAGGTCCGGTGTTTCTCGTGGGTGGCTATGGCAACACGCTGCCCCCGCCCTCCCTCATCCACACAGCCCTCCTGCAGGAACAGAGTGCAGCTGGGAAGGTGAACAATGACTGTCAGCATGAACTTTAACATTCATTTAGTTTTTGATGGGGAGAAAAAGCTGGAGGTGGGGGACAGAGTAATTACTGCCAAATCTTTACCTAGAGTTGGGCAACTCATGTCATACAGGCAGGCTGATCAGGGAGTAGTGGGTGGGGTGGTTAGAAACTTTCAAAGGAATTAAGGCCCACAGTTCTATGGGGGGGAATCTTTCATTATACTTGAGTGAAGTGAAGAACAGTTTCAAAAACAGAACTATCAGATATAACTACTAGAGAAGTGGCATTTTGATAATCAAATACTAGTATAAATTAAGTAATCAGATCATTTTTCACTTTGTCTTAAGAAAAAAACAAATCAAGGACTACCATGGTTTTTTAAAATGGAGGTTTTTTGGGGGCTTAAAAGGTTTTTAGTTTAGGGACTTGGCGGGGACAGAGTAAAAAAATTCGAAGAAATACTTTATGGTTTTTTAGCACTTCCTATGAACCAAGCAACTTGTTTGTCCTACATGTATTTCTGACTAGTTTGAAAGGTTTGAAATTGGATAAGGACAAAATAAAGAGAATCTTTTCCTAACTCCAAACTTAGAGGGACACAAGGTTTTGTTAGGCCCAACCCCACCCATTATGCATTAACCAGTTAATAAAGCTGGTCAGACAGAGCTGCTAGGTCCAGTTTAGTGGAAGCCTCATGGTGTTACAGACACCATGTCTGTAATTGTAGTAGTTTCTATGAGATGGGCACGACTGGGACACACACAGGAGATGTGGACTCAAACTGAACCAACAAGAGAGCATTAACTTTGGTCTTTAGTTTGAATGAAAAACTTTTTCATTTTTTGCCTTAAGAATTCCATAGGGTTAAGGACTTTCTGATTTTGGTCAGTTTTATTCAGTTTTAGAAAACTGCTTGACATGTTATAGATGCTCAAATATTTGATAAATGAATTATTGTTGCTCCTACCCTCCAACTTGGGGAGACCCCCCCCAAGTCTTTAATAGTACCTTTACTATTTAAAAAGGAAGAAACAGGCCAGGTGCAGTGGCTCATGCCTGTAATCCTAGCACTTTGGGAGGCAGAAGTGGGAGGACCACGTGAGGCCAGGAGTTTGAAACCAGCCTGAGCAAGAAAGAGAAAGACCCTGTCGCTACAAAAAATAGAAAATTAGCCAGACGTGGTGGTACATGCCTGTAGTCCCAGTCAGGAGGCTGAGACAGGAGGATCACTTGAGTCCAGGAGTTTTGAGGTTGCCGTGAGCTATAATAATGACACCGCACTCTTGCCCAGGTAACAGAGCAAGACTCAGTCTTAAATAAATGAGTAAAATATTAATAAAAAGGAAGAAACAAAGTGACATGGATATAGTAAAATGACAGCCTCCTTGCACCGTTTCTCTACATGCATTTGGGAGACAGTGAAACAATCAATCCCTGCTCACGTCAGTCTTCATCTGCCCTGCAGACCGCCCACCAAGAGTATCAGCAAAGACTTTTATTGATACACACATGCCTGGCCCATCTCTTTAAATAAAAGAATTCCCTTTAAAATTCCATTTCAGTGAATGAAATAACCACAACTCAAGTGATTATTAGTAATGGCATCCTCTGTATGAATCTACTATATTCCTGCCCACCTGCAAAGGGGTACACAACCCAATTCAAGATACAGTGAAGCCAAAAACATGCCCAAGTTTCAAAAACAGTTCACCTTAAAATAATTTTGTTGAACCAGGAAAGAAAAATTAAGACATATTATGTTTGTTGCTTTTTAAAACTACTCAACTTTTAATATTTTGTTTATATGCTCCACAGAAAGAAGCAAACTATAGCAGTGTCTTCAGCAAGGTCTCTCAACCATTTGGAGCCTCAGTATCCCTCATTTGTTAAAAGTACATCACTAATGTTTTCTGACTATGGCAGCCTAAAAATTTGTTAATTCAGGTCATAAAAAGACCTCAAAAATCCATTTTAAGTTTGATATTCTATCAATATCTTTCTTGAGGATCTGAATAGTTTTCAAACAAACATTTTCTGGAATGGACTACTGCAAAGTATGTGGAACAAGAGAGTTAAAAGATGTGTTACATGTTTATATGTTGTTATGTGAGAGAGAACACAGAAAGATATATTAGTTATTCCAGGCAGACTGAAGACTGAAGACCTGGGTTCCAGTCCCAGCTCAAACCCCCACCCTCTCCCAAATTTGTGCCTTGAAAAGATTTCCCGTATCTTTGAGATTATAGAAAATGCAAGATTAATAAGTTATCCTGCTTCTATAGTAAACTAGCCCATCACTCCAGGGATAGCTCAAACCTAAATCCTTTTCCCTCACCACCAATGAACTCTTCCCTTCAGCATTAAAATTAATAACCTGAATATCTGGTATTTGTTTTTAACAGTGAGCAACTTGCAGTGTATACATCTCCTTGAAAACAGTGGAAGATCAAAGAACTTTTCTTATAACCTGCAATCAGCTACTCAATCAAAAAACAAAACAAAACTCCGACTGCCTGTGGAGGAAGACCGTGTTCGAGGGAGCTGGAATAGATAGTGCAGAGTTCTGATTCTCCGCTGATTATCTTTTACATCTTGGGAAAACTTTAGTATCTATGCCTGAAGCCTTATTAGCCTACAAATGCGGTAACTCAAAATGTTAGAGTATTTTCTTTCTGCTTTTACGTAGTACTGTTTTGGAAACCATCAGAACATAAGCACTAAAGCAGTTTCTGGGTTGGGATTTCTGCCGGCTAGCTGGTGCAGGCCTGGTTTCTTGTCTGAAGTGATGAACCTAAATGAGCTGGGGAGCCTGTCCCACGGCAGCCTTCATCTCACTACTTTCCTGGACAGACTTCATCAGACACATCCTCACTGTGCCTTCAACATTATCAGTATTAAATTTTAGATCAGAATCGTGACCCCGTGTTTCCATTTAGAAATTGTCCATAAGACCATGAGTGTATTCTTTTGGTTCTTTACACATTATCATTCCCATATTAGCCTCTGAAGGCCACAGGTTGCTGCCATGTCCTCTGAATGGCTTTCTCACTGCTGAGCACCAACAGCAGTGTCACAGTATCAAGGAATCAGTCAGGTAGTGTTCATGTGGCTTTGTGCCAGCTCAGGCCTCAGTGTTCCACTTACATTTTCTGACCAACTTGTACAAGTGAGCAATCTTCACAAAAATGCTGTTCCTGCTGGCAGGGAAGATTGTGCTAACTACACACATTCTAATTCTCTAAGAACACCTAGTTTAAATAAAATCCTGTGATTCTGGGCTCTTTCACATTAGTAAGGAAAAGGCTGCTGTGGGAGAGTATAAACAGGAGGCACAGTGATGTGGCTTACAAGTATTTTCAGGGTTGCTTCCATTTTCTTAAGACCAGTGCCACTCCTGTGCTGTCAGTAAGAGACGGGACGCAGTGAAGTGAACACTTAAGTAAGGTTCCTTGATTTTCAGTTTGCTAATTAAATTTTAATATTATTTTCATCATTATTAAAACACAAAGAATGAAGTTTGTCTAGATGAGATTACAAAGACTCGGCTGATTTCTCGATAACTAACGGAAGGTACCACAGTATCATTCTGTATTTTCTAATACCTAGCACCTATGAAATGAGAATGTTCTACCACCAGTCACACATACCATGTGTTGTGAGTCCAGGAAGCCAGGCTGTGCATGAGTGGAAACACCCAAGTGTTATTTTCCTACTTCAGTTCAACGGAAAATTCACAAACTTCTTTAAAAGTTCAGCTTTAATGACAAACATTTATTACATCAATCTTTCTTCAAAATAAGATAGAAGTGAATAAACAATTTCAACCAGGAGGTACCATGGCCTCTTCAATACACTGTGCTCAGTGCACTGGGCCCCTGGGGATGCCCAGTGATGTGCATGTTGAAGCAGTAATGTAGGTCTGTGAGCCACTGCTCCTGAACACCTCCACTCCTCAACGTCTGGAAAGAAAAACAAGAGTAACTTGAGAACTGTACCAAAATCGCTATGCTACCTGACGGTATTTTTCACACCCAAACATTTCTCAGAGCATTGGCCACACTATCCACATCTGTAAATCACCACGGGAAGTCTGCCTGGAGAAGGGGAACTATTAACTGGGCATTCCCACAGGTGGTGAAAATTCCTAGCTACATCCTCAAGTGCTACCGGATTCTTGAGTCTATTCTCCTCTGCCCAGGAGACGAGTAATGAAATGTCACCATTGACCATCCCTACACACCCCTGATCCCTCCCCTTGGCATTCTAGTATCTCATGATCTTTACACTAACATCAACTGAGAATGGTTCTACTGGGCGACTGACAATTTCTGTCAATCTCGTCTTTATGGAGGTGGGCTTATTCTCCAAACTGAGAATAATCCAAGTTCTTGATTTTTCTTCCCTTCTACTAATTCTGAATGATTCCACTGCCACTTCCATGACTTCTACGAAAGCTACTAAGAATATTCAGAATGAGCACCTCTGTAACATGCATGTAAAAGCTCTATTACTCCAAACTATTACTACATACCTCAATGAATAACCCCTGAAATCAAACACCTATACAAAATACCTCTTTAACCCTCCCACACCAAAAACACCAAAGGAATCCGAGACATCAGAGCTGCCCTCAAACACACAGCCAAAGGCAGAAAGCCAACCATCAGACAAAGCTGAAATCTGCAACTTCCTTCTTCTTTCTCTTACTTTCCAGTGAACTAAATGACTAGAAATTGGCCTGAAGTTTATTCCTGCTAAATAATTTCCTTAATGATAGCTAACAATTACTGAGCATTTAACAAATGTCAGGTACACTAAAATCTTTACTTGGACAATCTCACGTAATGGTCACCAAAACTCAATAAAGTTAGCATTATTCCCATTTTTACAGATAGGAAAACAAGCGTGGATAGGTAAGAAAGGAAAATAAAAACCTCACCAAGCGATCACAGTTAATCAATAGAGTCTGTATCATAGTCTAGGTAGGAATGACTCTGATGCCCACACCTTTTCAAACTAAGCTGCCTGGTGCCACCTTCATTCAGTTCGAGTATTTTAAGGCTTTTATTATTGATTCTGAAATCTGAGACATCCCCCTTGTGAAGTCACAGTCAGGTCCCAGACAGAAGCCCCAAGCAATCACCACACTGGGCTTAATTCCAGGAGTCAGGAATGCTCAGGAACTCTACCCTCGCAAAAGCACCGCCCTCATTCCCCTCTCATGAATCCACTCTTACACTAATAGTACAAAGCCCCTACTGCCATGCTTCTTACCGTGATATTCTTAATGATCTGCTGCACCAAGATCGCATTGGTCAGCATGTGAGTCCTGAGGGGTGCGTGCTGGAGTAGCAGGCGGAGCAGCTGGCCCACCACAGGAAGCTCCTCAGGCCCAACTCTGTTCACCCGCAGGCTCTGCAGCATCAACCTGAGGACTCGAGGCAGGAGGGTCAGGATGGAGACACAGACCCCCCAGAGCTTATCCCTGTAATAATGGAGACAGAAATGAGTCAGTGAGCCAACACATAGAGGAAAAATCCACCTTTCCACATTCCCCCAAACTGAAATGTCCTTTTAAAAAACATGTTTTTTGACAAAACACCACAAACCCATAACTAACAAGAACTGGGTTCATCAAAACTAAATAAGCAAATCCAATGAAGAACTGGCTGCTCTACCCTATTTATGGGTTTAGGAAGCCTAGCCATCAGCACATTCCCCAGGCTTAATAAGACAGTCTTGAAGCTCTAGTGATCACATATAACACAGAAGCAGCCAGAAACAGAATGATCTACACATGCATACCCGTTATTCATCACCACTGGACATTGTCTGCAAAGAGAAAGATGTCCTCACCAGGAGCAAGAATGGATTTCAGAAAATAGCCAATAAGGGGACTATTACTGCACCCTTACTAGGTCATGGTAAATCCAAATTTCAATTAACACCATTCTCTTAGGATCTTTATAGAGCAGAAACAAAAATTTTTACAGTAGAGAAGGGTAAACTTCAGAGCTAGCCTACCCACATTCTAGAAATACTCATTTGGAGGGAGAGTATTGTAACTGCTAAAAACTCTGACCAGTCTGTTGCAGTTTATGTAACAGGAGCACATAATCTTTCTAAGAGAACTTCCAGTACCCAAATCTTTCTAAGAGAACTTAACTACTACCAGGTCCCGAGGGAGCAGCCCTTTTACCATATGACCAACCTTCATGACGTCACATATAGTAACTGCATCTAAGGTGAATAATGAATCCATTCTAGGCCGGCCAGATCCTCTTACTTAAAGAGGCTTTATTC